GCATCAATGATTGGCTGGTTGGATGTCAGTATGCACTGCACTCAATGATTGGCTGGTTGGATTCAACTGCAGATATTTATAAAAATGAAGGGAATGGATTTCTGGGTCAATAGTATAAACTAGAATTGCTACATCAAATACAAGTGGTAGAATTGAACTTCACACTCACTTATCAATATCTTTGGTCAAATTACTGACTTCATTCCTTTTACTATTGACTTTTTCAATCAGAGCTTTTCCCTTTTCAAGTTCTGTTTCTTTCTTTTCAGTTATATTACGTTTCTGATCACGTAGACTGCCAAGCATCCTCTGTAATTGAAACAAACATACACAACATCATACAGTGTACACTATGGTAAAGCCACATTAATTAGATATTTACAAGCTATTGAAGTGTGGAATATTATTATTTCCTTTCTATATCATTATACTATAGATCAAACCATCTATAGAACATTACTGCTACATTGTTTGGGTGATTTTTTTTCAGTATCAAAGATTATTACATTTTAATGTGAATTAATTATGCTATGGAGTACTTTATTGTTTGTGTAGTATGAATATTATTACAATGTACATCTACGATGTAGTGTTATTTCATATTTTGTTTATTATTGTGTAGAATAGGGTATTCTACACATGTATTCTGTGTACATTATTACCATACATTGGGAGGTCATTATTTACTCTTTTGTGTAATATATCTGCACTGCGGGAATACTTATTTTTACTTTATGTGCAATATTACATCTACAGCATGCATTAATAAATGTGCAGTGAGAGGTCATTTCAATTCATATCCTTCCAGCCATGGAAATTTAAATCATAATCTTATAACAATAAATACATAATTGACCTGGTAGAGATAGTTATCAGTGAGACAAGTCATTGTTATACCAAAGATTATATTTATTTATTATATTTAGAATGCCCATACCTACCTCAACAGGTGCTAGCTGCTCCCGATTAGACTGCAACAAGAGTGAAACATAAAATCGAATATTATACTTTGAACAGTAAATACTACAACTCTGTTGAATTGAAATACTACAGTTGACAACATATACACATGAATATTGCGCCAATATACCACAGTAGACACCAATATACTACACACAGTAGACCTCAATATACCACACAGTATACATCAATATACTACACAGTAGACCTCAATATACAACACAGTAGACCTCAATATACCACACAGTATACATCAATATACCACACAGTAGACCCCAATATACCACACAGTAGACCCCAATATACCACACAGTAGACCCCAATATACCACACAGTATACATCAATATACCACACAGTAGACACCAATATACTACACACAGTAGACTTCAATATACCAC